CAGCGTAGCGGTCTCTTTTTTAAATACACATGGATCGTTTGCTGTTTCTTTTCATTTTTTTTTTCAAGATTTACCTTGATACCAATCGATCGATATGGATGCTCTTCTGCAATTACTTAAAACGCTACATCTAGTTTTGAGTATGTAGATAGAAGGGGTTCCGATTTTGGGGTCTGTCTGTCATCTGCTCATTAACTGTGCACATCTACCATGCTGTCTTTTATCGAGAGGCTCTGTAATTTGGAATTACCAAAGTCCCGATGAGTAACCCCCAGGTGGGACACGATTCTTGTTGATAACTTGACTTCCGCCGTTAAGATGAGTTGGCTGGATATAATCGGTTCCGCCAGCTTTGTACCCCTCGCCGGTAACGGGATTTCCTTCTAGGAGAAAAGCATTTTGATATTAATCACATAGCTATACACCCTAAGAGCATATCATACCCGATCTTACTCCATTAATTTTAAGATTCTCAGTCGAAGAAGAAACAGACGATGATGCGGACGACACCGAACCACTTTTTCCGTTATAATTTCCCTTGGAAATTAATTGAGCGGTATTCGGGTTTTGTCCAAAGGGAATATTGCTCTTCATGTGATTCTTGCTAGGTGTGATAGGACGAGCCGGTTCGCCGAATAAACGTGAGTACGAGTCAACTGGTTTTTGGCCTCGACGTGGGGTCTCACCTGTTTTGTATAGTGCGAATTTGTTAGTTTAAATTGTTGTAACATAGGTTATCCCACACAAAAAAAATAAAAATAAAATAAAATAATAAACACGATGTTAACATAACATAACATTGCCAACTAAAGTCTTGCATAAAATATAATTAAATGTTAGCTAACGAAGATCAGCCCAGTTCGTGATATATAAGAAAATATATTAGGGAAACAATTTGTTTCGTGTTTGCAAATTTATGTTCATTAGAGACTTATGAAGATCAATTTGTGCCTCTCATGCCTGTGTAACATAGATATAGTATATTAGAAACGTGCTTGAAAGTAAGGTGATCGTAATGAAGGATCGTTTCTAGTTTGTGACTAATCACAGTTTCGCACAAATAATTATTTTGTACACTTTAATTAATATCAAATCAATAATAACAAAGTTAAAAACAAAGATTTGTTAAGTCGAACAATTTATATTTATTTGTATACCAATGTAATAGAATCTGTGAGCTCCTTGCCGCACTGTAAAGACATTTAGAAAAAGAGAGAAAAAGGAAAATGGGAAATGTTCCATCAAAATTTTTGCAAATTTTTGCAAAAGCAAATTTCGGATAATTAAAAATGGTCAAATGACTGTTCGAGATAAAAACGGAACTTTGGTGTTTATAATAATATCTAGCTAAACGATAAAATGAAGTTCTGTTCTGTTTCTCAGTCTTCCCAATGATGTTTACTAAATATGCATCTATTCTCGTTTACTTGCAGTTTATCGGTTCTATCTTTTAATTTTCGTTGTGTTTCCGTTAATTTTGAAAACAAAGCATTTATCAAATAACATCATAATTATCGATGCCACAAAAATATCGAACAAAGCTAAATTGAGCCTATTCAACACTTGTGTACAAGTTTTTGTAGCCTTTCACAGCAAGCATTACTTACCATTGTTCTTCTGGGCGGCATCTGTTTCGGCAGAGAATATATTCGAGGCCATCAGATTTTTGACGGTACGTGGAGTTTGGGGCAGTTCGGATCCGAAAATGTCACTTGAGACTCCACCAGGGGCCCTCAATACTCTAGAAGTACACAATTCATTTACCAGTTTGTTAAGTCTATTTAATAGTACTTTTGCAAACAATTTAAACGTGAAGAAAGTTACTTAAATTAATGAAGCTTAAATAGTAGCAAATTAACCTTAAAATTCGTTTCCACCGGTACTTGAGAAAGACTTCATATTGAAGGCAATCAGTTTCTTAGTTAACAGACAAAACACACAGTAGCTGAGGGAGCTGCAAAAGTTAGTGCAAGTCCGTTTACTTTCGAAAGCCTTTCACATATGCAATGTGCAGCTCAGAGGCAAATCTGAAATTATGTTTTCCCATTGACCAGAGAATGTAAAAAAGTAAAAAATAAACTTGACCGGTAAGTATTCGCTTTGCAGATGGTTCATATGCCATCAGCGACCAGCGCTAGCTAAACTTGCTCTCGGAGACAGTCCATGGACGCCTAGAGCTTTTACCTAGTTTATTGGAGACAAAGCTTAAATTGCATTGAGTCAAATTCAGCGATAATGGTAAAACACTTCTATATAAAACCTTAAAGTAAAAGTTGTTTGTTGTAAGTAAAAGTGACGTTGTCGACAACGATTTATATTAGGCCAACGATTGCAAATGATTGGCAATTTATATAGGATATGTACTGAAGATCAAACTTATCGACCTTATAGTCTCTTCACTAATAATACTTTAAAGATGGACGTGGATATTAACATATGCGCGTATGGTATAAATATAATTATTAATAAGTATAAGTTTAATAATTATGTCATTACATATGGTACTTTAATTTATTCATTAAACAACTAAGTTCTAATAAGTAATAATATAACATATGTGATTTAATATATAATATATAATGTGATGATAAATACCAGTGATAATAAGTTTCCGACGTTTCCCTATCTTTGAAAGACTGACCAATAGTTGACAATGCTCTTAGAATTCTTATCACATAATTTTCAGTATAGTCAAAGTTATAATATAATGGACTGGCAATCAACAACTATTCAAAATAAAAAGAAAGCTTTCTGGGGCAGGTGAAGATAAATACAAAAAAGAAGTTGTATAAGAAAAACCTCTTAGGGATAGGTTTATTGAAATCAATAATCACAATTTGGCTGTAGCAGATTAAAGTCAATTTCTCTACTTTTGCATCAGTTTTTAGGTAACAAATAGGAAAATCAAGTAGAAATTTGTAAGTCGGAAGTTTCCGACACGCGGATATTGCACAAAACCAATTAACTCTTTTCCCCTTTTTCAAAATAGAGTATAGAAATAATGAATAACGGCTTTGAGCTCATTCGTCTGTAACATACAAATGTCCGAGTAATTGTTCATTGGAGTTCATTTGTTGTTTTTATTGAGCTTGGGTTGCTTTAAATTGGCTGCAGTGATCTGCTCGAGCGCAACAAATAAACCGTTATTGTTGCCATGCTGCATCTGCTGCCGATGCTGCTCTGCTGCTGCTTTGTTTCATTTAAAACGTGCAACCGCAAACAAAAACATAATGAAATTTTCAACCAAGCATGAAAATTGAGTGCGATTGCTGCATTTTTTTATATTTTTATTTATAATGCCTTTGTATGATTTTGTTGATTTCCCTAAAACGTTGATTAGATGTATCCATTATAATTGCTTGACATGCCAGAAACAATAACTGACGTTTGATGACTCGGCTGATGGGGCCGGCCACTTTCCCTCTGCTTCGCCAGTTCGGCAGCTGTGCATTCAACTAGAGTTTTTGTTGGTCGATGCTGCACTTTTGATAGATTGCGGCGCAGGCATTTCGAATGTTTGGAAACAGTTAAAAATTGATCAGTGTTTAAATCAAAAAAAGAAAAAACACAAGTAAGCTCTAGCATATACCCTGACCCCGAGCCATGGATGGCAAAGTGAACTGAAGTTTGATAAATAAATTAATTACTCGACTGTTGATCTATATAAATCTTAAATTAATTTAAGCAAGCTACATTGGCAAAATTTCATATTCGAATCCTGGAATACTTATTAACGAAGCACATAAATGAAAATCATAAATGCAAATCAGTGCATATAAAAAAATGTTTTTATTTATGCAAATAGGTGCATATGAGACAATGTTTTTAATTATAAATCGAAAGTACATAAATACATAATATTTGATACATACAAAAATCGTTCCATGTATAAATTTCGTGGTAGAGTATAAAACAAATACTTAACTCGCAGAGAACCTGAAAATGCTCACCTCAGCTGTTGGCAGGCTTTGCAGCAAGATTGTCAATTATCGATAGTGCTATGCGCGCCTGATCAATAATTATCGATTGTATGCATAGAAAGCATACGGACGTCGAAGAGAGAAAGAAAAGTTGCCACACTACGTTGGCTCTACCAAACCACAAACAATTATGTGCATACATACATATGTGTGAATATCAGCAGGTCTGGATAAATTCAGAATTTACATTCAGATATTTCACAGTAAAGTGAAAGTCACCAACTACACTATGCAGCTTATACAAGTTAGTTCTGAGTGAGACTTGAGGTCAGAGCATTTATTGATTACTAATTACCTAGGCCATAGGCTGTTTTTTAGGAACCTCCTCAATATAACCACAACACTTTTCTATAGACATTTGCAAAAATTACTTTTAAGCATATGCTACTAGATTTAAGTGCTATTCGTCCTTCTAGATTTTGAGTCAGAAAAATTTAGTTTTATTTATTTCATAGACAAGTGATTTCAAGACAACTGAAATTAACAAAACAAAATCTAAGTATTTACCAATATATATATACATTTTAACAAATTACTATGAATTGTTACAGATCATTTAACAAACATCGACCAAACATCTGACCAAACATGAAAGGCATTGCAGCTATTTCCGCCAGGTACTAAAAGGTACGAAAAGAATGCGCTGCTAATAATGTCTGTTACATGCTTCTAATGTGTCGGCAATTCAATGTTGAATTCCCATATATATATATATACATACATCCGAAATATTTCTTTATGTATACATATGTACATATTCAGTATATAAATGCAATACTCAAGCGTAACCATGACTTTTCCGATATATATAGCAATTTTGGCAAAAGTGATATTTATATTTGTACTACTTTGCCAGTTTGTCCTAAATATGCACATCAATAATGTTGGCATAGCAACTACTTATACCTTTATAGGAAAAGAAATTTTATATATCAATTTGTCATGCACATAATCTCTTCATTCATTAGCAGCAGAGTAACGAGTCATAGTAAAGCTGGTAAGAAAGTACTGTATATATAAGATAATACGCAATTTATACGTTGTAAAATCGAATATTATTAGCTTATTTATTTATAAAATGTGTATGTATATAAATCTTGCAAAAACAAATTCCTATATATATACATATATATATATAAAACCAAACATAACAGTACATTTAAATTACGTAATATATGAATTTGTTTTTACAAGATTTATAGTTATACTCCGAGCCCATTTTCAATGGAAATCAGGGTATAATGGGTTTGTTAAAAGTATGTAGCAAGCAGAAAAAAAAAACCTATATATATTCCTGA